GTCAAAGCACAAGTGCAGAGAGCAGCGCATCGGCAATACCTGGCAATTCGCAAGAAGAAGGCATCGGTAGCGTTCCTTCCACTCCGTCATCATACGAGCAAAGATTCGGGGCGGGGGAGCTTGGGGCGAGCGACTTCAGTCCACTTGAGCGAGTGCTCACCCCCGAACAAGCTGAATTGCAGCAACGAGATCGTGAGCGACGCAGCCATAGCCTGGAGCTCGATCGTGAGCTAGTGCGGCAAAGAAGTACCAGCATGAGCGTAGCGCTGGGCAAGAGTCTCGACGCCGGTGGAGGACCTTCCTCGGCAGCTCACACTCGTAGTGTTCAGCGGAAGAACTCAGAGACTCTTGCTGCTCTCCATTCCGCGCGGTCTATATCGTTTCCGGATGCTACGCCGTCCGCTCTATTAGCAGCCAGCAACCGGCGGTCGCAAAGCACGCTCATGGGACCGTCGACGTCGTCTGGGATTGGCAACATCCTCGAGCCTGGTGCGAACAGCCTTGTGTCCACATCAGCAGCATCGAGAATGCAACTGCGGCTTGCTACTTCCTCATCCTCGCCTGCTCGAACACGGTCAAAGAGCGTGCCAGCTACGCCAAAAGGTCTTGCAGCGCCTGATCAACGAAACAAGCTGCTATCATTCTTGCCTGGCGTACTGCCAGATGGAAGACTTTCGGCAGCAGAGATCCCACCACGTACCTCTTCACATTTCTATGAACCCTTTTTCGCCCCTTTCGAGGGCAAGGAGACCACTCCACCGTTGTGGAGACGCGAAAGGCCGATCAGCGGAGCTGGTGGCAGTGGTCGCATCAGTGCACTGTCGCACATATGGAGCAGCGGGGACTGGTTTACGACGCAGCAGCTGCTCGAAGGGATCGAGATGGATCGTCGTGACTACGGTGAGAATGCGCCAGACTTGCGATCTTACTCCACCTTGTTCGCAGCCCAGACGAGGGCCGAGATGCTGCACCATCTGGAAGCGCTCGACGCTCTACAGCCTCGTTTGCCCGCGGATATCAAAGCTTTACGGCCTCTTCGTCTGCGGTCCACCCTCGCGCAGGTGCATCATCGACTAGCGCTGCTAGTGTCGTATGCGCACGTCCCAGCGACCATCTTTCTGGACTACAACGCCATTTACACGCTCGTGCAATTGGCAATCTTTCCTTCAACGCCGGGCACAGCCGTGGCTTGGTGGGTTGCTGCAGGTGTCTATGCCGCATTCACCATCTTCTGGCTCGCAGGAATCGTGGTGATATGGGAAGGCTTGGTCGCGTACCGGCGTGTTTGGACAGAGCGTGAGTACATCTGTGATTCCTTGAAAGAGGCGATCGCTGAGCCGCGACGCACCTCATGGTCCTCAATTAGCACGACCCGCGGTTCTGCCAATCTACTTGTCAAGCGCCGTCTTCACCTTATCGTCTATCAGATCTTTTTCGCTGTATTCTCTACTCTATCGAGTCAGATGCTCTGCACGCCCGGTCGATGCAGCATTGGAGACGATGTGGTACTACCGCCAGAGTGAGTCGGACTCCTGCGCGTGTCACGGGTGGAGGGAACAAGCTAACGCGGAACATTCCATCATTGCCAGATTGGCCCACAGTCGCCACCCTAGCGCCTCGCGCGATCATATGTGCAGTCGTTCTGGCGCTCTACCATCCATTCAGTCCCTTCGCCGCGCTGAATGGCAGGGACAGCACCTACTTATCTCAAGAACGCGATGAGCTGACGAGCTTTGCGTACGTTGTACTCATCATCAACGCCTCCTGGGCAGCTTGGCGATTGCTGCTTGTGCTGGCGTCAGCAACGCTACTCTTTGTGGGTGAGCGATACCAAAGGCGGCGTGCGACAGAGGATCGTCGTGCAGCGTCCACAGGCACAGATCGTCGTAATAGCGCATATCGCGATTTCGATGACGCGCGAACTCAATCCAGAGCTCATAGCAGGACCGGGCTGCTGGCCTTCACAAAGAGAGATGTGGAGAATGGCTGGCGAAGCAGAGCTCAAGATCGGGTTCGCGATACATTATTGGAATTTGGTCTGA